ATAAAGTTCTATAAAGTTCCTGGTGCTCACCTTGTAATAACCCCTCCCGAAATTCAAAAGTATATTCTTCCACACATGAATTAAAGGATTAGGAAGAGTATTAATAATGTTGTTGCAGTACGATTTACTTTATGTTATGTAAATTCATGTAATTGCTAATTTATATGTATTATTTTCTACAATAAACGTGGACTTCTTGCCGTTACTTTTTATATTTATCTTTCCTTTTGGACTTTTTCCTAATTTTAGATTCCAGTGAAGTTAAAATTATAAAAAGTAGATTCATATGCACTCGCCCTGATTTGTGTTTTACCTACACATATGTATCGATTGAAAGTAAAGAATTTAATAAGTTATTTTAGTTTGTTGCGATGTATACTAGGACATGTTTGGACTACAAACATTGGATAAAGCTATAAAGTTCTATAAAATTCGAAAGTATATTCTTCCACTCATGACCTAATGGATTATGGAGTATTAATAATGTTGTACAACCATTTACTTTATGTTAAGTAAACTTTGTAATTGGTAATTTATAATATGTAGTATCTACAATGAATGAGGATTTCTTGTCGTTACGTTTTATCTTTATGACAGCTAACTGGTAGAATACTTTAGTGTAGGTAAGCATTTCTACATAAACTATATATTGTTCCATGGAACTAAATTTTTCTATTTGCTTTTTCTTGGTCAACGGCTACCATAATATATAGAAAAAATATATTATGCTATGATACAGAGTATAAATTTTGAAACGATGTTTTAGAATATCATTTTTTTTAATATATATTTACATATAAATAGAAATATTAATGGTGAAAGTTAGGGTTGTACACCGTACACGGGTCAAGAACCAGATTGGAAAGGGAAAAATCGGGAAACAAACAGGAAAACCCTAATTTAGTAGTTGACATAAATTAATTTCATCTCTTACTCTAAATAATTTTCATAATTTTCACATAAAAAAATATTAAAGGAAATATAGAACATTCAACCAACTGTGAAGTAATTCAACATCGATTGAGATTCACCCAAACTGGAAAATAGAAAAGAAAGTCAGAAAATAGCAAATTAGAAGTTTCACCTTGCAAACATAGAGAAGGGGAGCGTTGTCGGGGGAGGAGAGAACAATTGAGAAGCGCTGGCCGCCGGGCTTCGACCTTCGGTTGCGTCCGCCGATCGTCCGGCATCGGCGGCAATAAGCGGAAACGAAATACGAAGGCGGGAAGGGGAAGGGCCGGAATGCCGGTCTGATTTGGTCGCTTTTGTTTTACTGCGTTGGTTTTACGGAGTATTTGTTTGGCTATGTTGATGGGTGGACCTATATGTCCATATGTCCGTGAAAATTTATAATGGGCTCTAAATTTGAATGGGCTAAAACGGGCTAGAACTCACATTTAATTAAAATTTAATTAAATTTGAATAGTGCAATTGAAGAAGGTACGAAAGTAATGTTGGGTTGGGGAGTAGAGGGTTTACCCGAGTATTAGGGAATGGATTTAGCGATTTTAAAAATAAGTTACCGTAAGGGATTCAATTAGGATCAATGTTATCTATAATGGAATAAAAATTATGAACAATTGAAAGGGAGAAAAGAATATAAAGGGTGATAATGGCAATCACGAGAGAAGGAAAAATATCATCGGAAGTGGCGGCTAAGGTTTAGGGGCAGAAGGATGAAGAGGTAGTGATGACTATACGGAAACAACTATTAAGACTAGAACAGTTGTATAGCTAATGCGGCTTCAACTTGTAGCAAAATATTGGTTGGTCTGGCTCATTTGTGCCGGCTAATTTCTCAAACCAGCCGTAGATCCAAGATCATTCAGCGACTTTTTTTTTTTTGCGGACAAGGAAGTGGCGGTAGAGAGACACATGTGGGACGACAACAACACTCCTAAACGTGCGCCCTTTTAATGTCAAAAATAGAAGATGGGTGCTAACCTACTACACAACTAGGTGGCTTGCGTTAATGTGAAGAAGAATATAGAGGCAGTGCATTAGAGGTAGGGGGTAGTTTTTTTTACTTGACAAAATTTGTGGGTGGTAAGAAAGAAGAACAATGGCCTGGCGGACGGCTAATAACGTTGCCACCCGCCAGGTGCGAAAGCAAAAAAATATTAGATCACCAAGAACGGTGGCTCCAATACCATGTTGAAATATTGGACTAATATTATTGCTCATTGAATTATGAACTACATGATAGAGTATATATATATATGTATGAGGGACACCTAACACAACTAAATATAGAGATTAAAAACTCACTAAAATACTACACTTATCGTAAATAGGAATAGAAAACTGACTAATTATCAAACACTACTATAACCAATAGTATCATAAGTAATGCTATTATTATTGTCTAATGGTAAATATATAAAGAATGTTGATATTTGGTGATGTAGTCAAGCCAGCAATGCATGTTATTATTAGAAGAAGCTTGAGCATGTTCTCTTCAACTTATTCTTAGGCCTCTAACTATAGAATTAGAATTAAGGACTTCAATTCCTATTCTTGTGTTTGGTAGCACAAAAATTATGTGAATTTAGAATTGGTAGTGCAAAAAAATGAATAGGAATTGATGAATTCAATTCTATGGATTAGTATCTTATTGAATTTCAATTCCAATTCAATTTCAATTCCATCAATTCTGTATATCAAACGGACCCTTATTATTTATTACTTTTTATTGGAATCAATACAAATCTGATTAAAAACAACTTTTAATTTAACTACATTATTCAAATCTTATTAGATCAAACCAGATCAAAACCATTCGAATCGAGTGAAGAGAACATAACCTATATATTGGTATTGTACTTTTGTTTTAGAAATAAAAACCAAGAAGCTTATATTTTGGCATGTTCTATATGTTTCACTCATAGTTTAATCATTTTCCAAACTCAAATGAGCTGTGATTGGCTCACGGCCGCATGGGAGCTGAAGACAAGCCCAAGTGGTGTAGTTTTGTTTGGACAAGCCTAAATATGTGGTTGATTTGCAGGGGAGGATTCGAATTATGGCCTGATTGAGCACATACATTAATTAATATAATCAGTCCAACTATGTCAGTGTACACCAAAAGTTATACACCAAGGGTTTACATTACATCAACACGTAGATGACTTGATACAAAATGGCAGTGCAAAATTTTGCAATTACAGTAACATTTTGTTTTAGTATCTGCCATCACAAAAGATAACTTTCTAACTATCTAAACGAAAAATAAAAGAATAGTTCTCATGTTATTTATTATCTTTTTCTCTACCAAATTCAATTCCACAAACCAGGTAGAGTGTAAAGAAGGTTTCTTTCTTCTCAAATCTCCCTCAAATTTTTTTTGCATAGCAACAATCAATTCGAATTCAATTAACATGGGTGATATTTGTATCCGTTTAATATTTTGATCCCAAAAGAAATTTGAATTGCCTTAGGAATCAAATGATTTGTGATAATTAAAAAGAATATTTCAATGATCTCTAATTTAGTGATCATGTACACCAAACGTGCATTGACATCAATCTATTTTTGACACGAAAGAAAAGATTAATAAATTAAACTTCTGTTCACAGATCTATTAATTAATAAACATAAATGTGAAGGATGGGTCACATAACTTTAATTTTGTCCATAACTTCATAATTTCGAACTAATAAGAAATATTTGACTAAATAAACCATTTAATTTCATAATTTCGATAAGTGTCCTATTCAGTTTCAACAGTTTCAGCATGCATGTAGCATGAGTGTCATCAATCAATATTTGCATTTTCGTCTAGGAAACGACTAATTATTTATAACATAATTTTCAACATTTAACTTTTTTCCGAATAAAATATGTTTCATTTCTTAATTATAACGTACTTTACTATATTTAGTATATTATTTATCTGATTTGATTATATTTTATCATACATGTACTTTTTATGCTTTTTTAATAAAAAAATACAGTTTACTCTATGCAAAAAAAAAAAAAAAAACTATGTACTCCGCTTTTACTAATGTGTGACATTTAGAATTTTTCATTTTCGACTTTTTTTTGGACAATCCTAGTAAATTTTGTCTTTATTGTATACTTCCCATTAGTGTACAAAAAGATTTATAGTAAAAAAGTACTCCAAAATAAGATTCTCGAAATAAGAGACCATGTACATTACCAAAGAGTTCACATTACCATAATTCAAACTTTTGATAGAATAAAAATATGTAATTCCTATTTGACATTTTCTTTATGTTTTATTTCTATATATTTAGGGTGATATCTCAAGAGTCATAACATAAACTTCTGATTCATTCCGCTATTTGGATCATTACTCTGCATCAGGTTCTGAGCCGCCACAGATTTCAAGTAGATAATATACCCCAAACATTAAAGAGTACTCTATACACAAGAGGTTGGATATTTTGTGACACAAATTTGCGTCCACTTGACACTGAACATCATTAATTTTTTAAAATTAGATATTGTTGGCGCACTGCGCGTTTTAAACCTCGTAACATCTCAATCAACAAGGTATATATATATATATATATATATATATATATATATATATTTATTTATTTATTTATTTATTTATTTATTTATTTATTTTGGTTCTGGTGAGAATGCAATCTTAGGAGAGAAATGAGAATGAATCTGGTGTTTTAGATTGTAAGATCTAAGGGTCAAGATTTCATCAAAATTAGATGCACCAAAATGGTTCGAAAATGCATCACGTCGAAATGCACCATAAACCTTCGAAAATGCACTATATCAAAATCTGAGCGCAAGATGCAATCTGAGCCGCATGATGCATCAGATCCGACGGCTAGATTTTATTCTTATTTCTCTCCACAAGGTGCATTCTTACGGGAACCGGCCCCTATATATATATATATATATATATATATATATATATATATATATATATATATATATATATATGATATAATCTTCTCATTATTCTCTTTCATTGGTTTAAATAATATAGAAGAAAATGAATAGTCTATATAAACTCATAGGATAAGGGAAAATCACCTCATAATAAAAATAAAGTTGTTTAAAAATATAATCATACTCCGTATCTTTCTATAAGATATCATGGCTCAATTCTTCTCACAATTCTCAATTGCTTTTATGGTTCTTCTTCTTCTTGCCATTTTATCTTCAACTCCACTCTCATCTTCAACTGCTTTTATCGTTCTCCATGGTATGTCAATTATGCCCATTACTCAAGAAAAATTTAAATCCCTTAATTATGATCAATTAATTTAAATCTTTTTGTTTTTTGGGTAAATTTTTCTTAAGGTATCTTTAATTTTTTGGTAATTCCAATTAAGTTATATGATAATTCTTTGGAATTGGCAGGCATTTCAATGATGTGCGCGGATGCAGGAAGCATGTATTACACCATGACACTTAGCACAATGACAAAAGTTAAAGGATCATGCGTGTAATTAATTGCTTAATTACACTATTTTCTTATCACTCTTCTCCCATATATTTGTATCTAATTTTTATTCTCTCTGTCCCTAAAAACCTTTTCCCTAAAAAAATTACATATTAAGTAAATTTTATATAAATATAATTTGATAAATAGTCTAATACATCAAAATAGAAGGCAAACACTTGTCCTTTTTTTAATAGCAAAACTAAGCAAGAGAAAAATATTGACTCTAGTCAAAAAAAATTCAATAAATAAATCAAAATGGAAGCTAAGACAAACACTTGTCAAAATATTATTTTTATATAATAAATATAATTTGTTAAAAAGTCTAGATATATTATGTATATGAATTGTATTATATTATATTTCAGAACATATTATATTTTACAAATTTTAATTCATGTTATATATATTGTATAAAATTATACAAATCATATACATAAAATTAAGTTTTTAAATATAATTAATAATTATATCTACAACAACTATTTAAAAGCATCTAAGTTTGCTAAACGCTTTTTGTGAACAGCTAATGTAATCGATCAAAACAATTAACTGACTCAAACCGGCTAACAAAAACAGCTATCAACATGCCATAGTATGTGATATTCAATAAAACATTCTGATCATTAATATTTACATTTAATAAAATAAATTTTTAATACTACTCCATTTCAAATTTACATTCCAAGATACTACGTATGTCATATTATGTGTTTTAGTTTCAATAACTAAACAATATTTGTGTATACAATTTCGATTTTAAGGGAAGTTGGAAACGGATTGTTTGATTCTTGGATGATGCCAATGGAAAAGCAAGTAAGTTTAAGTCCTAGATTAGAAAAGTCATTATGTTTTAGTTATATTTAGTGCAAATTTTACTTTTATTTTTTGCAAGTTTAAAGGGTTCCATATATAGGGAGTTTTGGTGCTCATTAATTTTCTGACTAAATTATAGTAATTTCTGACGAAAATTATAAAATCTCTAAAAAAAAATAAAATAAAATGTTATCATCACATTATAAATTAATAATTAATAATTAATAATGTGCAGGTTGCAGATGCATGTGGCAAGGTGATCTCCAAGAGTGTGATGATGATCCAATTATACAAATATAAATGCCTCTAATCATTTTCTGTTTTATTTTCTCAATATACTCCCTCCATTTTATTAAAATACTTTCTCTTTCATTTTTGTTTTCTCCAAAACGCTTCTAGTTTCTATTAAAAAAATTACATTTACCATTGTTTTTTCTTACTCTACATATTACATCATAATTCTTCACTAATAATTTATTCATCACATCAAGAGCAAAATTGGAAAATTAACTACAAGTATACACTCTTTATTTTTCCTAAAAATCAAAACAGGAACCGTTTTATGAAACGTAATGAGTAATATAAAAAACTTCTCAATGTGCATATGTCATAATAAGTTGATGGACATTTAGATTACAATATATTGCAGATTAAGGGGATGGCGGAACTTAAAGATGGTTACCATATGGTTTCTCTCTCCCAGGTGATTATATATCATCCTCTTCCTTCTAATCATCATCATTAATATTACCAATAGTGATTTGGTGGACATAAAATTTTAAGTTAGTGGGCTCAAAAGATTACAAATGATTAAACATTTCAAATAAAGTCCACAAAAGAAAGTTGGACCTAAGGTAGGTCCACCAAAGTATACACCATTGTAATTAGATATTGTTATTACAAGAAATAATTACGCACTCAGTTCTTTAAAACACTTCCGATCTAATTTTTTGCGTACCCCATGAAATATTTTTATTCTACCCAAAATGTCTAAAATACTTTTAAAATAGTTTATACCCGCAATAAAGTACATAATGAGATGTATTTCAGACATTTTAGGTGGAATTAAAAATTATTGTATTTGAGGTCATTGTGCAAATCCCATATGATCTCTAACTTAAAGAAGTTTGAAATGCGCAAAAAGTTAGAGCAGAAATATTTTTGAGAACGGATGAAGTATAAGCAACTCAGTATTGATCAAAACTTTACAAACAGGGAAACATGGTAGGAAGAGGAGTGATTGAGTTATGTGATGGCCCACCAGTAAGAAACTACTCCTAATCATTTGTTGAGTATTAAAATTAATTAATTAAATTATATTTTCATCCAAAATTAACTTTCTATATGTGTACACATTTATATATAATAATAAAATGTAATTAAAAAAATCAGGTCAAGAATTTTATCTCAGTTGGAGGACCAAATGCAGGGCACTCGTCAACTATCCCTTGTGGAGTAAGCATTTATTATTTGAAATATTTTTTTAAAAACATAAATATTATGAAGTCGAGTTGTTATTATGTTAATTAAATTGAAGAACAAATAATACAACTAACACATATTGTGACACTTTAATTTTTTTTCTTTCTCTACAGCCTTTTCCCTGGTGTGGTGTAGTAGGGCAATTTTATGGAATGGGAGTATACACCCCTTATGTTCAAGTAATAATTACACTACATTTTAAATTATATATATATATGGGGTTCATCAGTACATGTGAGAATATTCTTATTGTGCAAATATGAGAATGATGAATTTTCAGATTGTCGTGATAACATTTTACACTTCTAGTGGTGCATTTTCAGAAAGTTTAATTTATTTACAAAATTGTCACCGTAATTTTTTTCAATTTTGTCGGAATTTTTTATTTTTAATAGTTTTTAGATCTTAAATCTAATGGATCATATACATTCTTATTTCTTTCACTACGTATCATTCTCATTTGATCTAAAATCTCTCTTTATATATAATTTCCCCAATAACTTTAAACTATTTTATTTATTTCTTTAAGTAAAATAAATGCAGGATCACTTGGCTCCAAGTGGCTATATCAAGCTCCCAAATGTAAGTTATTATGAACATATAAAACTAGGGAGGAATGTATTCATATACTTCAAGTTAAAATGATAGATAAACATTTGGGGGATATTCATAATTTGTGAAAGATAGTTTTAGATAAATTAAAAGAAAAAGAATTAATTTTTGAATGAACTGTTTGGTATGGGAGAAATGAAGAACAAATTCTTCGATTTTATTTCGATTTCAATTTTTTTAAAAATAATTTTCTATATAGGATATACCAGCATACTTGAAAGAGTGCAGATTTCTTCCCAAGATCAACAATGAAGTGGAAGACAATGAGAGTCCACTTCGGAAAAAACGATTCAGCAGTCTTAGCCAACTCGTTCTCATCTTGGTATACATTACGCCAAACAGTCTTAGAAAAAGCTCTTACCATGCATATAATCTTTATATATTTAATTATACAAACAATCTAATTAATAAATTAATTATTTGATTACAGTTCATGGCGGACACAATTATAATGCCACAAGAAAGTTCCCATTTTGGGTATTACCGAAACGGAGACTTCACCAAACCCGTGCCTATGCAAGAGGTATACAACTTCTTCTTACGACACGTCCTTTAGTAACACGAAGAAATAACTCGAGACCCTTAGTTGGTCAAAATTGGTGTAAAAAGGGTAATGTCTAGGTTCGACTCCTAGAAACAATGATAAAAGACGATCATGCATAACATGAGATTCTTGTGCGTGTCAAGGAAAATGCAACATTTTAATAACAAACCTTATAATTATATAGCCAAAAATAAGTAGCTAAATATGGGTTGTGTTATTGCAGACAGATGTTTACCAGAAGGACATGTTTGGACTGCAAACTTTGGATAAAGCTAAAAAGATAAAGTTCTTCAAGGTGCCTGGTGCTCACCTTGTCATAACAGTACCTGAAATACAGCAGAATATTCTACCATACATGACCTAATTCATGTCCCAGTTCATCTAATGTCTACATATAAACACAATTAATACCTCAAATTCAAAAATAGTTGCCTTTTGGTTTTACATAAAACTTGCCATTACATATAATGTTAGTTATTATCTAGTAGTCTTTTAATGTTACATAATATTTGTCATTGTATACAATATTGAGTAAATTTCATTAATGATCTTTTGAAACAAACGTTCTTCAATATTTAATTCATAGTTCTAAAATACTCCGCATTAGATACATGACCCTCATTTTTTTTAAAAAAAGAGTAAATTCCATAATTGGTCCTTTATAACAGGGGGTTTCCATATTTAGTCCTCTATTATCAAATATTACCTCCGTAGTCCTTTTTTTAAGGGCGCCTTTCCACAAATGGTCCTTTTTTGATCTTCTGCCATGTTGGTGTTAATTTAAAGGCTAAAAATATAATTTGACATTAACATTATGTCTAGTCACGTGTTCTGATATTAGTTAAGCGGATAACACAAAAAAAATGACTATGATTGTGGGCTAGGATTCTAACGAAAGACTACATTTGTAGATTATGATTGTAGTAGAAAGCGACTGTAATTCACAAACAACGCAAACGGAACAGCCTTTGAAATTGTGTATGACAAAAAAGATATATTATCATTTTGAAATTACACTTTTAGCCCTCAAATTAACACCAACATGATAGAAGATCAAAAAAAGAACTATTTATGGAAAGATACCAATAAAAGGACCACATGGGTAATATTTGATAATAGAAGACTAAATAAGGAAACCCCCTGTTATAAAGGACCAATTATGGAATTTACTCAAAAAAAAATTATTCCATAACAAAGGGCTAACAATAGAATAATTTTCAAGACTTGAGGACCATACATGTAATATCAAAGAATTGAAAACTAATATAAGAAACTACTTGTTGTAAGACACTATTTATAGAATTTACTATATAATAATACTCTATAAATCCCAAAATATTTTATAGTTAATGCAATAATGCAAAGGAGAAACCGAGAGAATAACCAACTTTCAACTCATCATCGAAAAGACCTTTCAAATAGTCATAACTGCAAAGGAGGGACAAATCAGATCAAATAATAGCATACCATAAGAGTACAATTGGGACAATATATATACTCCCTCCGATCCCCAAAGATCTTCCAATATATAGTCACATACACACAAACCTTACCCCTACGCGGGGTAAGACTATTTCTAAGAGACCCCGCTAAAACACACAAGCATATACGGAGTATTAATGAAGAAAATACAATAGCATAAAGTAAGAATACAAATACAAAGCAGACATTGATCAAGATAACAAAAAGCACAAACTAGAAAGTAATGCAAAAAACACATAAAAACCAAAGGCTCAAAAATCTACCCAATTATTCCAACCCTAGATCTTCAAGTACTTCTATATCATGAAGTCACATGTCCTATCTAATCACCTCACTTATGTACAAACTAAAGGCTCAATGTGCACTTCTTATATGCCCAAAACCACCTCAGTATGTTACACCAAAAACAGGCTCTAAGAAAAGTAATCTCAAGAGAAACCGACAAGCAGTGCCCCAACTCTTTTAGCAAATCCTAAACTGAAATGACATGATTAAAAAAAACTCTGAAGTTTCTTAACAAAGCATATAAATATTCAAAACAAGATTAAGAAGAAAGTCAACAAGACTCCACACAAAGTTATGACAACGTCCAAGCACCTCAGGGTTTAGCCACATCTGTTACAAACATTAATGCATGTTTAAAAAAAATTATTGCGGCATATAACGAAATAACCCAGGTCACAAGAAATCAAGAAGTTCACACACACATTCTTCTAACCACAAGAAACACTGCAACTTTTCTGAGACAGCAAAGCCAGCCTTCATGTAAGATTGGCACATTTCATGTTGTTTGAGTTCAGATCAATCTCTACTAGAGTCAGGCGAACCATCCCCATCATAAGAAACCAAGCCGCCGCCGCCGCCCTTTGCAGGGGGGCTCCCAGAGAGTGATGCGGATCTTTCCTTGCTTCTCTGCCGAGGGGGAGGGGTGGGTGACCTGCTAGATGCAGCTGACCTGGATCCTCCTGATGGTGACCTGGTCCGCTGTCTCTCGGCGCGCGGGGAAGGCCTGTACCTGCCCTGGGGAGAGCGGCTGCGAACTGGACTCCGGCTATGACGCCTTCCACGGTAACGTATTGGGCTGCGTGACACGCTACGGGACCTGCTTCGTCCATTTCTGTACCTGTGGTGATGAAGAAATTAAGAGCCATAAATCCTATAATGTTCCCCCTTCCTATCTCAAAAAAGGGCTCTCAATTGCTTCTAGTACGCATATTAGGTAAACAAAATAAGAAGTGAATACTAATGTTTTCCAAATTTTACCCTGCAAAGGGGTAAATGGTGGGTAAATAACTTTCATTTTTAAAAAAAATAGGGTAAACAGTTTAAAATGTCAAATGAAATTATGTAAAGGTTTCAAAAGAAAGAGGGCATATTGGTTGACAAAACAAAAAATAAGACTTGTACAACGGAGTGAAGGGAGAGCTATTCTCAACTAGTACATGGTTTTCAATTTGAATGGGTATTGTCATTTAAAAATTTTAATGTAAAAGGATTTCCCCACACAGGTGGTTTCCTTAGGAAAGGATGGTTCTTTCACAATGAAGAAGTCATATGTGGCACCATTTGGTTTTCCCATCATCCACTATGCATTAGAGTTCTACTCCCTTCGTCCCGGAATTATCTTCTTTCTTCACTATTCAAAAATCACGGAAACTTTTTGTTTATATGTGCGATTTCATTGATTATTTGATAATAAAAAAAATTTCTTGTCACCACTGGTTTTGAAGAACTTTTGGCGTAGTTTTTAAATATGTAAGTTTTATTTTTATTTATATACCAATCTTTAAATAAAATAAATAGAAAAAAACATAAAAATTTTACTTTGTGTTGCGTAAAGTGAAGATAACTGAGTGTAAAACTCTTGGACCGGCAAATTTGTTCAAAACTAAACAGTGCCACATAGAAAGTTTACTCGATGAGGAAGAGGCTGGGACAGTAGTCCTTTGCCGAGGGTCTGTTTGGATGGAGGATTTTAGAGAGAGCTTGGATAGAAAGTTTTGGAGGGCTTTTAGTCACACTTGATGGAAAAGGCATGGTTGGTCACTATATAGAGACACCATGCTTTGCACAAAAAGGGGAAAAACAAGCGAATGCAGAATATCAAACTGACCTAGGAGGTGTTCTTCCTCTTGGGCTCCTGTAGCGTCTAGGTGACCTCCTATAGCTTGTATATCTACAAGCATTGGTATTCAAGCAACAGCAGAGAGTTATAAAGCATATACATTAACAAAAGGCATAAAAAAATAATGCAAGCTCCAAACCTGTCACGGTCATTGCGACCGTAGCGGTATGATGATCTCACAGGAGACCGACTCCTGTATCTACGAACATAGGAATATTGCTCACTGAATCCTCTTCCCCTTCTAATTCGCTTAGAAGATCCATCCACAGAAGGACTCCTAGATGAGCTCCTACCACGACCAGATCTTGGTGATCTTTCCCTGCGTCCTGCACTTGGAGGGCTCCTTGAATAGCTGCGAAGATTCTTTCTGTGAGGTCCTCTGACTGGACTTCGACTGGAACCTCGTCTAGAAGGAACCCTTGCTGGACTTCTGCTAAGGCTCCTTCGAGAAGTCTTAATAGGGCTCATGCTAGGACTAGTATATCTAACCGGACTTCGACTCCGTGACTTCAATGATTTCTTAGAGGAGGTTCTTGGTGGACTGCGGGAAAGCCTTCTAGGTGTGGGACTTCGGTTTCTTCCCCTTCGAAGATTTGTTATAATCGGGGAAGGGCTCTTGCTCACAAAACTTCCTCTTTTAGCTGGAGGGCTTCTACTGACACTTCTTGTCAGGCTCCTGTTTCCACGTTTTGCCGGGCTTGTACTGCGATCCGAGAGGTGGCGCGAACTTGTTCTGATACTTGGACTCCTGCTGGTACTGCGCCTTGGGCTTTCACTTGGGTTCCTGCTAGTACTCCTCCTCGGGCTAATGCTCATGCTCTTACTCAATTCCCTTTTAGGACTCAAGCTTCTGCTCCTGCTCATCAACTTTAGATGAAATACCCGTCTCGGAGAAGGTAACTGGAACCAATAAAATAAGAGAGGTGCAAGAATGGAAGTAAAAACCTAGATTTGCTTGGGCTATTGTCTACTGCATCAGAATTTCTTTCTGGACTTTTATCAGGTCTATCATGTGTTATAACATTGCTTTTATGGCCACCATTTTCTTTTGGAAATTCTTCACCTTTCCTCTCAAATGGGGCGGCAGTTTCTCCTTTCTTCTGGTGTCCAGATGCAGCTTGCCCATCTTCAACAGAATGAGATTGACTTCCATCTGCAGGTGTTAACCAAGAAACTCCCATCTCAAAACAAATGTGCATAAATTACTCCAGTCTTTAATGTAAGGCACTTGTGATGAGTTACACACAACTATAGAAGTAATTGAAGATTCTTAAGTGTCCCAACCAGTCTTCCAAAAGAGCAAATAGTGAAAAAGTATAGAATGCATAATTGGCATGAAAATGGCGCATAACAAGGACCACTAACACCTTATATAGGAATTACATGTAGCATAGAGCCATAGACTAATAACAAGCAGGAGTAGAATACAATTAGAAAATTAAGAGCACTGCAAAGGTATTTATCAAGTTAAGCACACATTCAAGACATTACAGTAAGGAATCAAAGCTATATTGTTTCTGCATCATGAGTTAAGAGATGATAGTATGATACATCTCATATACACAAAATATCACTCTTTAAAAATGATGCACAAAAATGGAGCAATCCACATGAATAAAAGTAATAGTTTGCTGAAGAGTAACTTTCTGTTAATATCTACAACATAGCAAAAACAACACCTAAAAGTAAGAAAGTGTGAAATACCAGGTTTCATCCCTGTGTTCTTAAACTCTCCATCCAGCCCACCAGCACCAGCATCACCTTCAGAATTACTTTTGCTCTCACCTCCAGAAAGGCTGTCGGAGGAACTGGGATAAGCAAAGAATAGCTTCAGTTTCTTGAGGAGTGAAATATAAGATGTAGATTAAACTAAATCTAATATAGCAAGCATTTAACATGAAGAAGAGTTATGATGCAATATGCTACAGGTGTTATGTGCAGCATCTTTAAACATTATATAACCTTTTAAGTTTGCGTTTTAGCTTCTTTTCACGCTTCTTACGCATTTTCTCCCGATGTTTCTCCCTTCTCTTTTCACGTCTGTGTTTCTCTCTCTTAGATCTCTTCCTCTTCCTGCGCTTGACATCACTGGATGAACTGGTGTCAGTTGATGAGGAGATGTATGAATCAGAATCACTATCTGAATCAGAAGACTCTGTATCAGAATCCGTAGAGCTATCTGATTCTGAGGTTTCATATCTTCTTCTTTTCTTCCTTCTTTCTTTCGAAGATTTTTTGTGCTTTCCTTTACGCCGGCCTTCATGACAAACAGAATATTAAACTTTGAACTATATCTTTTAGCTTTTAATTACACAGACATATTTTAACCTAGCCAAGGCACTACCAAATTAAAAAAAAAAAAACTAGTCTAATAATGCATGTCAATAAAAGCCCAAAAGGAATGAATCTTACTCCCATGAAATTCACCAGAATTTACTATTTTAACTGTCACATCTGGCTTCCCTGTATCGCTCCCCGCGTTCTCAATCTTCTTAAGGACTTCATGGCCATAAACAAGCTTGCCAAATACAACAAATTTCCTATAAAGAGTTTTGAGTAACATGCTTCAAGAACCACAATAGTAGAGTATATATGCCGTTGAGCTACTAGTGCAAACAAAATAATACAACCTCCATCCCAAAATTTTAACAAGGCACAACCCTCATATTTCAGTAAAGTGCAGCTGTACAACTACTAAAAATCATTAGTACTATCTATAAGGTGTTTCACTATATTGGTAATTATTGACTTATCGTTAAAATATTCTTTCTTGAAAGTAAAATGACTTAAAGAATAGATAAGTCATTTGGGGATATTCCAAAAATATGAGGGATAATTTTGTAAATAATCTGTTCAAAACGGAGAAACGAAAAATCTGGCTTAAAATAAGTAGGTACGACCTACTTATTTTTTTATACTTATGCACAGCTTTTAAGTCATGACCTGACTTATAGGTTAAAAACAGCTTATGAGCAATTTTGACCAACTTAAAAGCACAGAGAAACACCCACTATATTTTCAAAACTAATTCTTGGTCTAATTGAAATTCACATACTTATGTTAGAGCACTTAGATTTGAAAAATACATCAAATATACTAGTACAAAAAGATTTTTGAGTAAAACTTTTTTGAGAAAGAGAGTAAGAGTTCCCAGCTAGCTTGCTCGAGCATGTACACAGTTATGATTAACCTGTCAAGATGATGAGCCTCATTTAAAGTGATTGTGAATAGAGAACCCCGTGTATCACGATCAGCAATTGCCATAGATAGAAGACCAGGGCTATCATGTTTCAGCTTTGGTGACTCATCTGAAAAAATATCAAAAATTTCATCGGTCACAATTCTAATCAAATCAGATGCTCTCCTCCTAATTTGATGTATTTGTTGTGGGACAAATAAAATCCATACAGATATAAAAATGATTAACAGTAGAGGAAGAACTTGTGGGTTTTTCCTGCAATAAATGCTAAACAATTTGCAAAAGGAATTAGATTTCTCTGACTAGGAGCTTGTGATATAACAAAAATCTTGGAAGGAAACTGAAAATGAGAATTAGCTATACCTAGAGTGATCAGCATGCTACGATTGGGTTCCCATATGTTAAGTAAAGAATATCTTAATTGAGAAAGAGAAAATAATTTAGCTTCTGTGTATTAGTATAATACTCTCTCGCTTCTAAAAAGTAGTGCAACTAATCGACAGCAAGAGCCAAACATAGCAACCAAAATAAGTCAAAAATAGGTCACATAATTCTTAGGAAAACACAGACTGCAAAATCCTGCAATCACACATGGAACTCCAGCAAATCTATTTTGAATCAATAACTATTAGTCACATGTAGACAGGCATGCATAGCAGCACTCATGTCCCTACCATTATAAGAGAGGAAACAAATGTCCAATAGCATTGAAGCTCCCATGCTTGAGAATTAGATCAAATCAGCCTCAACCTTCATAGCCAATGCAAAAGGAAACCCATTTGATCTTTAAAATTTTGATTTCTTGCCAAAAGTAACGTCTTTTATTGGATCAAGTTGAACTACTAATATCAGAATAGGATTTCTAGTGAATGATTTATCAAGTAATTTCCATCTACACAAGACATTTTCACACCATATTTCAAGACAAATTGACTATAATACCAGAACAGATTTCTCACCTGGAAACTTCGAGCCATATATACTTTCTCCATAGTTTCCTGGGAAAAGAAAAAATATATATATAAGTAACTGGAATAATAATTTTTCTTTCAAAAAGATGCTTCAGTAATCACACAGAAGTTAAAGGTAAATTTCATAAAAGAGCATTAGTATAGTTAACTACACCCTCCTTCCTAAAAAAGTCTTATTTATTGTACAGGGTCAGTATATTTATTTCTTAACACATTTTCATTGATCATTTAATAATTTTTTATGTAGTTCTTAAATACAGAGTATAATTTTTATTTTTAAAATTCTACACCAAATTTTAGATATATAGAATTGAAGATAAGTTCATTAAAGCATCACAAACCAAAACAAGCCACTATTTTAAACAGAGAGGGTACGTTATATGTGTGTGTGTGTCTATATATATATATATATATATATATAATATATATATTATATATATATATATATAGAGAGAGAGAGCTTAAAAAGAGTCATTGTTGGTTAAGAAATATTTTCATTTCACATCTCAAAATTTTAGCTTAAAAAGGAAAAACCACTAGATCAAGCTAGAATGACATAAATATGTGGGGAAAATACTCCGTTCGTCCATTAATTTCTTTCTCACTTTCCTTTTTCGGCTATCCAAAAAATTCTTTCTTGTTTCCTATTTAGGCAAAAAAAACTTTTATGAATGTGCCATTATACCCTTACTTTTTTCTCTACACTATTCACTTCATTCCATCACATTAAGGGCAACACATAGAAATTCTTACCACGTTTTAACTTTTCTTAATCTCCATGTCTAGTCAAACTTGCTAAGAAATTTTTGGACGGAGGGAGTAATAAACTATGACCAAGCTAAATAGAGGAACTCTATCACTACAAACATTTAAACAGACACAGAATACATACCATCTTTCCTGAGCAAGTCCCCAGCCTGGAGAGAAAGGAGAAGAAAAGATGTGTTAATTATCAAGTGTAAAATAAAATGCATATTCAAATTTGGCATGTTTATGCTGAAATTCATAATTTCCAACGATGGGCAACCCAATAAGTACAACCTTAAAACTATATCACAAGAAAAGCAGTTGTGATCATCATCCCTGCATCCTACAGCATAAACAAGGACAGCTGACTAAAAAGAAAAGGCCACTTCTAAACCATGCTAAACAATGAAGAAATACATGCAGCTGGATATATCAAAGTAATCAGACTAGCACAAAAGAAAACTGCAGAGATTTAGTACATGTATACATATAAACCATACCTGAGCCACAGATCCCTTCACAATATTGTGGAAAAAGGTTCCTTTGTAGTGCCACGTTGCTCCAGTCCTGGGGTTGGTTCCTTTCTCTCCTGAAAACCAACTTCTTGAATGATAAAAATGGCCTTGTACATAATTGATTGATTGTACCAGAATACATTCAGATGAACATCTAAAATCATAAAATCATTGAGAAAGGCATGTAGCTTTTGATCACCAATAATGGATAAGAATAGTCTATGTTCAGAATGTAAAATAGCATGAAATATAAGTGTCAACCCACCCGTACAAAGTGCACGGAAATTTTCTGCAGTCTTCGGAGCAACATCAGTAAACAACTGTGAGGAGCAACAAGATGGTAATTGGTCATGTCAGTCATCCAGAACATTTTAGTCTTAAAAATAACAAATAACAAAGCCATATGCCTTTCTGCGCCACATACCTCAAAAACCATCTTTTCTGATGGATCACCATCGATACATATATCCAAGAACACCAGCACTTTCTTCTTACTCATTTTACACATTCAGCTCACCACTAAAAAAATCATAGGAATAAATCCACAATTACTACCATTAGATATGTTCAGAATTAAGTGAGATGCTATAACAAGCCAACCACAGTAATAGCTAAACTGAATTCATTAGTTTGAACATGTTAGTGGGGCTAAAAATTTAAAAACTCCAGGATAAAATTCCAAAACATTGAATTATATCAATAATCTTACCTAACTTCTAGTGCATATGTTTCACTGCACCAAACCCTAGATTCTGTAAATTATTTCCATTCATGATCAATATTGGTTTTCCATGCCCCCCAAACTCCTTATGGTCAACAATTCTTTTTTTTGTGAAAACTAACCATGCAAATCATCAAACAACAATAAAAAACAAGATTGAAGTATATAAGGCAAAGGTTAAACAGTACAGAGCGGCAAGAGAAAACGTCCGCTGCAAATCGAGTCTCGATGGGGATTGGAGTACTGAGATCATGTATGCATATACCGGTTAGAAGAACCTCAAACGGAGGCGAAATCGAAGATGATCTTGAAGCGAAACGAAAATTATAGATATGTAAATTACTAAATTTCTATGAATAATTGGTTTAGAGAGAGAGAGAGAGATAGAGAGAGAACCTGAAAATGAACGGCGAAGAACAGAATGAGCTGAGAGCCGATAGCGGCGAAGACGATGAGGAGTTTACTGAATGGAAAAAGTAAGACTAGGGTTTCGATATTTTCGATTTTCCAGTTCTGCCCATCAGCATCAGCATCACATCACATGAAAATTTTGTTATTTAAAAAATAGAGGGTTTTATTTTCCGAATGGCACACCCGAATTATTTTTAATGAAGCTTACTTTTAAATTCTCAAAAAATAACTAATTTTAACTTCATAAAATTTTAAATCAAGATTAAATTTAATATTTTGTGCTTTTAAAAATTTTGAAGTCTGAATTATCAAAGTAATGCAACTATGAATTTGTTCAGAGTTGTATCTAAAGATTCAAGGCATTAAGAACAGACAGAGAATAAAACACTTGGACCCAACGATTTAATTATGCTTTGGAATACAAACTAATTTTATTTAATCAACAATTAGCATTATATTAATAAGTAGAACAAAATCAAAGTATTATATTCCAGAGTAATTACATACCATATTACTTTGCTTTCTTTCTTCTTGACAATTTCTTTTTAATTTCTTGTAGTCCTAGTGTTTACACTAATTTTATAAATCTTAATGTATAAATACCATGAAAGAAATGCATCTTTTGTAAAACAACAAATTCTTTTATAATCCTAAGATTTACACTCATTTAATGACCTGATATATAAAAACCGTGGATGAATTGAACTCTTTGGAAAAAAAGATCTTTATACTATCTCATGGAAAATATGAGAAGGTCCACGTTTCACATATGAACATTATGATCATGGAAGGAAAGCTCTTACAAAAAAATAAAAGATCCACTTGTTAAACTATAAAAAGTGTATGAGAGTCTACATTTCATATATACGGAGTAAATTTTAGACCAACAACACAATGAAATTCAAGACATTTTAATTACTACGTACTTATTAATTACAGAGTAGGAAATATGATTAACACATAAAGAATTTGGTAGAAGCCAAAAATTGAAATTTAAAAAGATAAACATATTACCATTACCATTTTTATGAGTACAAAGTTTCTTTGAAATTAAATCTTTCATATCTTCTCTAATCAAATATATTGACAAGTTTAAGCTTAACATGCTCTTTACTTTTATTAACCTCAACATCACTTTATGTCTCTTCCAAATGTTCTTGTTCTAGTTTCATGTGCTCCAGGTTTTCAACTTCTTATCACTCTCCCATCTCTTCTAGTTCTACTTCCTCTTCAACATGTTTTTCAACCGCAAGTTTATATATGAACTTCTACAGAACACCAACTCGTATTGCAAATTATACCGTACATTCGGGAATTAATTAGGGCGAATAGGCAAGAACGGCTGAAAGGATCGGCCACGAAGGAGGCTACGCGATGGGGCTCGTTGGATTCCTGATTTGCGATTACACGATTAAGGAGGCTGCGCGGCAATGAAGATGGAGGTTGTTGATGAAGGTCGTCCACGGAAATTGTTGATGAAGATGGAGGTTGTTGGATTCCCGATCAATCCTGCTTCCAGTTGCTCGCAATGGTCTTCAGCACTTCCTAAAGATCTTTTCTTTTCCACTTACCAAATTTCAGACATATGATTTTATGAATGGTAGGTTGTTTAAGATTGAGTACTAAGTCATATGGGAATGAGTACTGCTGTCTTTTAAAATAAATAATATGTCATTCGTAAATTAATATTGAATAAATTTGTAAAAATGAGTACGACGTTATTTCTGAATGAGTACTGCGTTATTTTAGAATGAATACCACGTTTTTCAAATGAACCATTATGCTTATGCAAGAATGAGTACTAAATGGATGTACATATGTTCTTAATTTGTTAGTCTCATGCATCCAATTTCCCAAGTATCAAGAAAGCACCATTCAACCACTAAAAATGAGAATAATATTTAATAAAAAATAAAATATTTTTACCATATCTTTTAAAAAATAAATTTGATATAATTTTGATATATAAAATTTACACTTTATTTCTTTATTAATTTGTAAATAAAATAATTTTAAAAAAATGTGATTTTACATTTTGTTCGAGTGAGAAGATTTTTGGGACAAGGAGTATTCAACCCCTAGATTGATCTTATATATAGATGAACTTGATCTTAATGGATCTAATTTGGTCAAATTTGATATGTAATCTTATTTTTAATAAGAGTAAATAATAAATGAAAAAACAAATTGAAATGCAACTTGAGCTTTATTAGAACCAATATATTTGGATTCTCATATATTTTGAATTGTGTCTAAATTTGAAATAAAAGTTCCCAATCAATCCATACAATAAAACCAAAGACCATAAATAAAAACTATGTTCTTAAAAAATGAATAGGGATAAAAGTATTTCAAATCCGTAGTTTTATGTTCGGGAACATAATTTGTATTTCAAATCCAAATTTGGTTCTAATTCTATGTTCGAAATATCTAAAAAATTTGAATTTTGATTTGAAATTCATACATCTCCCTTGTAATTTGAAATTCAAGATATCAAATTTTGGAATTAAAATGAAATGATAGTTGCCAAACACTACCTAAATAAACAAAAAAAAAAACAAACAATCCAAGTTTGTATTACTCCATGAAGCACTCCGTAATGGGAGCATAAAATTGTGCCAAATTGCTATAAGTGAAGTTACCAAAATGCCCCAAACCAAAAGCACCAACAATCACAGCCAATTATCCTGCACGCCCCAAACCAAAAGCATCATCATCTCTAATTGCACGAATCTTTTTTTTTTTTGGTCTCGTTTTCTTAACTCTCTTCCCCACTATTTGCCTCCAAAAGCCTATTTCCAGTTTCATAATCTGTACTACGACTCCGTCCCACCCAACTTTCTTTTGGAGTTGATTAATCAAGTTTGAGTTGTTGCCCTAAAAAACTTGTGAAGTCAGCAGACAAGTGGGTTTTCATACACAAATCCTTGTGATGTCAAAAGAAGATCTGGTTACAACAATGTGCAGCTCAGATGTCTGGGCGAACATACCTGAAATCTCAGGCTCAAAAGCCAAAAACCCACTCCATGATCCGATTACGTACCTTAACCTGGAGTATCATCATAGAAAGATCATATACCATATATATGTTGGCTGGACAACTATTGGCATCTCAGCAACAAAGCAATAGATACAATGAATGAAAAGATACCTCAGCTATCAATCTGGTACAAGAATCTCAGTGTTGCAGCTGACAAAGCCACCCAACACCGCTCACCACAGTTTCTGGAGGGAATTGTTATAGGCACTCAAAGTGTTGCTATTGGCACACCTCTCTAAGAACACCAAGAACAACAATTGGAGTGCCTGAAAAAATTCCCTTTTGAGGATTACATTGTGTACATTTGCAGCAAAGAATCATACTTGTTAATACGTGGAAATTTGAAAATTGTACTTGTGTTAATCTCAGTATGTGATTTTATAACCCATGCACTTGTACAAGTCTAACAAAAATTTTGGTATTTGCACTCATATTAACCAAACATTTGATTTTTCACACCAATTGTGATGCAGAGCCAAATTAGATAATTGTGTGCGCATAAGCTATTCTATACTCTTACACATGACCTTTAGACCTTGTTTGTTTATAGGAATATATTTTTCTCAAAAACCTTTTTTTAATTGTTGTGTTTGGCACATTAACTTTTCATTTCGCAAAAGAAAACTGTCTTTTAGACCAGAAGTGATTCCAGTTTGTTGCAATATATTGTAAAATACAAATGCTTGTGACAAGGGAGGTACGTTCCTTAAAAAAACTGATGTTTTCCTTTCTAACAAACAGAGCCTTAACGTCAACAGAAAATCCAGGTTCTTGCATGATAATCTGAGACAGAATGACATAAGAATGCAATTTTACCACTACTTAAAACCTCTGGTTTCATCCAGCAGTAGAATAACATGATGCAAATCCACCTGCAGCCTGATATATACAAACAGATTAAAACAAGGTGATACCAGGGATTGGCCATGTGTGGGGAATTGGACGCATGAATCATCCATTTGCATATTCCACTAGAATGGCTTAAACCCCGGCATCATCTTTGATCAGTCTGGTAGCAAAGGAACCATGCCTCTACCTGTAAATGCAGGGAACTGTCATATTAAGCTCCTTCATAAAAAGTATATTCCATATGCTGCCAATTGTATAGACACTGACCTCCATAAATGCATAACCAAAATTCATATTGCCCCAATTTAATGGGTTTATATACATTTTCAAAGCTTTCATACGAAACATAATCATAATTAGACTTGCACTGAAGAAGAAACATATTCATTTCTTTGCAATGTTTTATACACTTTGGAGTAAGAAAAAATACATAATCTGGTAGCTAGAAAGAATGCCTATTGAATGAGCGATTCACAGGAATTTATTACCAAGATAGAAGATACAGAGTTGAAGTGAAACCTTGACTTTTACAAATGTGAAATCGCATAAAACTATTATCTGGTGTAATAATTGCAGGATTTAGCAGAAATTAGATTCTTTAACTCCATCAAATGTTCATCATTTGAAATATGAAGTGTGATGCGAAGGTTTGTTAACATTGTTTCCTGTTCCCAAGTTAAGGGCCCAGAAGCAAACAATGCCTCCAGAGTGCAATGATAAGCATGCAACTCTAACCTATGAATACTTTCTGCCAAATCCTCTTCTGGAGGATGAGGGTGAGAAAAACTCTCCTCCTCATCTCCAGAATAACAAACCGACTCTGCGTCACTACAAATCAAATCTGGTACACGATGACAAGGAGACTTTACCACACCTTCACTAGTAACACTACAACTACCAACAGAGCAAGAATCATCATCGTCAGAGTTATCCAACTCTGAGCTTCTCAAGGGTGAAAAGCAACAATTCTCCATTTTGTTATATCTAGTCAACCTAATGTTAAATGAAGCATTTCCAATTTTTTTACCCAGTGTTTCTCTTGGGTAAGAAGCAACAGCTTCTACCTTTTCCAGTATTTCTTGCCTCTGACCATCTGTTTCCAGAGTTCTTTGTTTTTTAAAGAGAGGAGTATGTGATCCAGTTGTTGATGAGCAGTGCACATATGCCCGTTTCAGAGATCTTGAAGATGGCACATGAAATTCCTCTAACCTATCCACAGAATCAGGTCGCCACAACTGGTATCCTGTGTTTCTGTAGCAAATTTGATTTGACAGTTTGTTAGATTTGAGCTTCCTGTATTCTGCAGTTCCCTGTGGATTGAAACAAAACAAGTTAATAACATTGTACCATTCGATTAAAAAAATTACACATCAAATTGAAATTGAAATGCGATTTCAATATATCACTTTATTTAACTTTGTATTAAGAGAAACAATTTCAGAAAATTTCTATAAGAAGACTAAGAGAACTGGATAGAAAAACTTGAATTAAAAAAGAAAAACTATGATGCAAAATCCAATCACCATATATATAGCCTTAAAGCATAGAAACATATAATGCCGCAAAAGAAGAGAAAAGTACCTTAGACAGCCAATCCCATCTGCCATCTTGCCATGCTAGTCGCCTTCTCATAGATGATACATGAATGCAAAATTCATGAGAGGATCCAATGAGTCGCACAAAATAATAATCTTCATTTACAGCATGGACAACAATGGCAACTTTCCATGAGAAATCATCAAATACCTCCAAAATGTCCCCAGGTAACCAATTCTCAGTATGTTGCATCAGGGGAGGAGAGGGTCTAATCAAGCTCTTATATACCCTTTCCACCACTGATTCGCTTTCCCCTAAAGAATCAAATCTCAATGTGTACCAATGTCCATCCTCAGAGAGTATCTGAGCAGCACGCCATGAGATTGGCACTTCAGCTTGGTTCATGACCTCCACTTTAACCCCCCTTTTAAACTTCATTTTGGCTGATGTTTGTAAATGGAATCAGAATCTGATCATAGAGGAAAAAAGAGAGAAACAGGTTGGTAAAGACATAGGAATAAAAACTTAACACAATAGAAACCAACACAAATCAAACTAATCCAGGTTCCTTTAAAGATAGATCATACAGGAAAACAAATGTTTTTAAAAAAAAAGTGCAAATAGAATGAGAAAATTTCAAATAAAATCCGACACTAAACCACAGAATAATATATTTGTAAACATTATGGGCATTAATTACAAAGATCCTCTTGCACGATAAGAAACAAAATAATTAGAACAGAACAATTAATTACTTAAAAATTCCTAGATTAAAATAAAAAAACTGATCAACTTGTTAATTCAAAAACAATATAAGTTGACGTTAACTAAAATCACGTTAGTTACGAAGAAAATATCATATTCAACTCAATTGATAGTTCATCACTAAACTAATCCGTACAACTCAAATAATTACACACAAAATCTAAGCAAAAAAATAGATTATTTGCAAGGAAAATTGAAGCTGATGCTAATTATACCAATAAATTAACTCCAGAAATTCAAAATACAAAAGAAATCGATCTACAACGACAATTAAAAAGATCATAAAACCCCCAAAAAATGCAACGCAAAAATGCCGAAGATCACACACCTATTCCTCAAAATTCGACAAATTCCTCCAACAAAGAAACTATTTCTTGAAGTTCTTGATCGGTTCCGAATGCTCAAAGCCTGAATCCCAGAAGTCTAATTCTGAGTTCTAGGGTTTGATAGAAGAATTTGGGAGGATATAAAAATGGGAAAGACGAGTAAATCGGTGAATAAATATGAGGGGCGAGGGTAATTTGGGAATATCAGGGGAAATAGTTCGGTTTGATGAATATCTAATTTATTTATTTAATCATTATTTATTTCAGACAATAAACAGAAAAAAATGGGGGCTGCGGAATGCACGCCTCCTTTGCTTTGTTTGGAAACCACCTAATTCGTGTTGGAGTGAGATTAATGGACTCCGCCACGCTCCTCTATGGGCGCGTGTCGTTCACTGCCTCTTCATTTGAAATTCATGAGTCAAAAAAGGAAAAAAAAAGGTTACAATTTGATTTTTGAAGTCAAAGTTCATCAAATTTTGTCGTTAATTTCTTGCACTCTGTAGTCGGTACATTTAATAAACTTTACAGTATATGAAATTAATTTTGATAAAATTTTATTATATCAATGTTTAATGATTAAATTTTATTTTGCAAAATACTACTCGTATTATTTATAAATGATTAGCGGTCAATTTAATTAAGTTTAGATCTAAAAGGTAAACTATCATTTTTAAGTTCAACTTTTAATTCCAAACAAATGAAATAAATTTTTTTTTACTTGAGGAAATGAACGATAGAATGATTTAATGAATGTTTGGAACATTGAGAGAATATGGAAATAGAGTATGAACTTCGGAGAAAAATGAAAGATTAGCTCTACTTCAATAAATTTTATAAATTTTTATGGTCAATATATTATTTTCTAAATGTTAATTCTAGCGAGAAGATCAGACCATGAAATGATTGAACACCACATTCTCTTCTATCTCACTCGAGGGTGACTATGGGTCGGGCGAGGCGTAGGGGGTTGAGAAATTATTAGATGGATAAAAATCACTCCAATATTATGAACGAAGAATCCTAGGTGCTCGAAGTAACACTAGGACATAGATTCCAATATTAATGGAATCTTGCCATATTGAAAAATATGAACAAGAAATCTTGGTTTTAATTTGTGAAATCAATTTCTAAAGTTTAATTTAGACGATATTGAGTAAAATTTAGCCATGGGATTATTAAATACGAGGGAGAGAAAGTCGGATGTCCTTACTCTTTCTTGCCGGTATAGTATTGGTTGTATTGCCTCCCTCAATAAAATTCCATACTTGTTATATTTCCTTCATCCCAAATAAATTGTCTGTCTCAGTTTATGATTCACTGAAGTTATTTTCAAATCATTTTACAAATCTTGAACCTACAACTACAAATTTAGACTTTTGATCGTTCCGTTCCTTTTACAATTTTACATTTTGGAAAAAGAGTAAGATAATAGCCTTTAACTTTTGTAATTGTAAAATTAATCCGAAGATTAATCCAATAGCTTTGGTACTGGTTTAATTGTTTGTATTGCCTTCATTCCCTCTTTTGCAAAAAAAAAATCGCATCATATTCGGGATTTTTTTTGTTTGATCGAACAAACATAAAATTACTCTGTATGTAGTTAAAAAAACATTCGAAGCAATTTAAAATAATTATACTTTGACCACTCACCATGGTGAGTTTTTTCGTGCCGGAAAATTTTAACCCCTCAATGGTGAGTACTCACAGTGGGATTTTTCTAATGATATTAGGCCCTATGTTAGGTGGCATGAGAATGGCTTGACCTCCTCCTTCCCGCCTCATACACGCCCATTCACCATGGCGGAGTTCACTTGGCGGGGCCCCTTCTTGCGTGAGGGCCATCCAGCCATTGCCCCCCAACTTTATTTTCCTTCTAATTTCAGCCAATCAAAATTTTACACAAATTCTTACTACATCACATTCCTTCACAGTGACTATAACACATATTTTTTTATCACTCCACATCATACATCTTTACACCCCGTCAAGCCCCCCATAACATATGGCCTTAGAAGATACCAAATTTGAACCGTGTTTAAGCTTCACCAAACCCTAGAAAAGATATTTGTAAACGCTCTCACAAAAAGAGCCCCTATGGTTACATGATCACAATAACTCCAATGTCATGTCCAAACATAAGAAATGTTCATTATTTCAAAACTCATAGGAAAGAATCAATTTCATTAACTGGTGGAATTTAGGGGGGGAAAAACTAGGGAAAAAAGGGGCACATGATGCTTGTACAATGAACATTTGAAAGTTCATCAGAAAACCCACAAAGAAGCATGAGCTTAATAAATGTTTGACGTCTATTACTCAAAACAAGGAGTCCAAGTGTGTGGCAGTACACTCTTGAAATGGAGATGTGTAGATACCACAGTTATTCTTTTGTAGAACATATGTTTGCTTATTTGCATCCATTGGCAACAATACAAAAGACAGAAATAACCTCAAGGAAGCGTGCGCTGATAGAGCGGTAGAGCCCCCAGAGCCTGGCGTTCTGCACTCTCTCTTTTCACCTACGAGGAAGAAATTGACATAATCATGAGCGAATGGGACACACAATCCAAAAAAGTCATTAATCAATGACGGCATAACTAAGTCAAGTCTTATATCCAAATAACTGAGAGCCTGGTTAATGAGTGCGGAGATATTCAACTTCAACTTAATATACTTTGGTTTCAAAAACAAATTAAGGCATACAGCATCATTTAGCAAGTCTGAGGTGGAAGCATCTTCTTTATGGCTCTATTAAAGCCTTAAAGCACTACTGAATAGAGTCTTCGCAAAGAGACCAAAACTGAGTAAATAACCAGCCAATTGGAGCCCTCATTTCTAAAAAAAAAATTACGGCTTTTTTCTCCTAAAAAAATTCCCTTGTAAAAAAAAAAAAGAAGTGAAAAATTCATGTTTCAAGAACTTTTTGTCCCATAAAAAGAGCCTGGTTCTAAACAAAACTTCATTTTAAAGTAAAAGTCCTGTAAAGACAAACATCAAGCAGTTTTAGTCAAGCACTCCAAAGTGCAGTTTTAGCCAACTACTTCATTAGTGCCTGTTCCTTTCAACTTTATATTCTAGTTATCCAAATCCCAGTCTCGACCAAACGCTAGATACCAGTATCCAGATTTTAATTAAAACTACAACTGCATGAAGACTCCACACACCACATAAAATTAAGGGAAAAAACAAGCACTTGGTGACCTTTCATAACTTGGAAAAGCATGTACTTTGATTAAGTTGATTAAAACTAAGAGCGCCTTACTTAAACATGACTCTTTTTTTGGGAGGGGGTGGAATGAATATCAAAAGATACTCCGTATAATACTCCGGTGCAGCTATGTTTTGGATACATTGTGGAGTTGGGGGGGGGGGTTACTTCTTAAGCATTCATTGTTATCCTAATATTGAGAACCATATATTATTCTCCAAATTAGGAAAAAGCCTCCCACTTTTTAAACCCTTCAAAACACAGCACCCAAACACACCCTTATAGATCATGGTATCAAAAACTTGAGATGTCAAAAAACCAAAAATACACATTGAAAATTGTAACAAGAGCATCCTATAAGACAGTTGAGCAAATTTGCAGTTACCATTCAAATCCAATGAGTGTGATTTTCTTAAATTGTCCATTGTGCACACACAATATAGCCCCAAAATTTAATAACTGAGGATTTTCTTACAAGTGGGAACGGGATAGTGACAAACTGAGCATGGAATGATGGAAGAGACTTTATGCAACTTATGTTGCACCAACTCAGTTTTTATTTTTAATTTATAATTTAAACAATCTCATTTATAACATATGGAGGGCCACACAATCATTAACATACACACTGACATGGATCTCATGTGGTTTGCCTAAGGAATAAATCCAGATGAAGAAGTCAATGAAAGCACAAGTCTGGGGCTACACATGCTTATGGAAATAGGGATTACTTACAAGAGCCAACATTTCCTGAAGATAGCTTCTGAAAGGTGTCTGCATTGCCTGTAAGAGAGTAAACCAGAATATTAACCAATGCCTTGCATTGCATAGCCTCTTCATCTCTTCTACCAACAAAGCAAGCTACATGTGAAATACTCTTTACTTATTAATTATGCCCTCTATCTAATAAAGTCCTATTTGGGGTTTTATTTTTGACCCCTAAAGAGAGTCTTATTAGTATAAAAAAATAAAGTATTTTTCATTTTATATCTAATGGTTTTAATTGCAAACATGTCTCAAACAAGTTAAACGTGTTGAATTTTGTTAGACCAGAAAATAAAGGTATATAGGATGATTCTAATAGTTGTACCTTACCAAAATTTATATGTTGTACCTTACTGAAAAGGGATTCTTTTTACGAGAAGGAAGGAATATATAAATGGAAAAAAAAAAGCATAAAGGGTTATTGGGTAAAACAAGAAAAAGAATTGAAAAAAATATACTACTCCGTATAATTAACCGCCAGTCTGCCAGTGTAATTTGACCGGGGGAAATCCTGTGTTCTTCTAATGCACATGGCATTTTTTTTTACTAGAAGCTGAGATCTGAGATCATTTCTACCTTTGGAGATCATTCATGACAGCTATGTTTCAATAATAATCACTTTAAATTCATACTCCGTATAAGCCAATACCACAGCCATAGACAAATTCTACCCGAATTAGAAAGGACACACATTTTCCACACAAAAAAATATATCATTCTAATCATTTCCAAAAACTGAACATAGAAAAACTACCTGAAGATCATCGGGGAGATACTGATGCTTCATGGAGAGGTCCATGGCGCGTTTGAGGCGCTGGTTCCGGGCATCAACAATCTCCCTTGGCAGCCTATTCATGGCTTCCTTGATGTCCAGATCGTACATCGGATCGTACAAATCATCGTATCTCAGACCTTCAATACAAAAAAATCCATCAATTTTTCATATGAAACTATACCAAAAAAATCTTCATTGAATTCGATACGATCACGTATGCGTACCGTATTTCCGGAGGCGAGAATCGAGAGATTTCCTGTGCATGGCAGCCAGAGGGTTCTTCTTCGGATCTACGATCCACCGGGCAAAAGACATCGCCATTTCTAGGGTTCTTCTGTAGCTCGCGAACTTGTGTTTCTCTTTCTCCCGCGGAGGTCCTCTAGAAACTACCCAAATGCAGGTTATACGGCACTTGCGATTTGCAAAAGTCTGTGAACGATGTCGTTTAAGAAAGTCTACCCAAATTCCTTCAATCTTTGAAAAAAATCATCATTTTGATTTGAAGGAATTTGATTAACTAAAAGAGAATTTACGTAAATAGCATTAAAATATAATGACTTTCCTTAAATAGCACTATATTTTTTTTTCAATGTAGCACTTTTAGTCATTATCCATTAGTCATTATTCAAGTAAATGTTTGTCAATTATAGACATTATTAAGTGCTATTTAGGGAAGAAAACAATCTAAGAACTCCCTCCGTCCTAATTTAAATTTCCTGTTTTCCTTTTCCGTCCGTCCCAAAATGAATTGCGTGTTTCCTAATATAGTACGGAGTAAGTTTTTATAGGTGCAATACCTAAAATACCCTTGAAATAATTCACTTCATCTACCAGCCTTATCAACCCATTGCTCATTAATCACCACTCATTCTCTATTCTCTCTGCTATTTCATCGCCAAAGAAGGATACCGATTCTCAGTGGATGAACGAAGCAACGTGCAGAGAGACGACGACTTGGGTTTTTCAGACTGCCGATTCTCAGAGAGACGACTACCTATACCAATTCTCTTCAGGCGGTCTCCTTTGGATGACGGCGACTTGGGTTTTTCCTTTACCGTGGTGCTGTATCCTATGCGGCGGCGGACTAGTGTTTCCCCTTTGTAGCGGTAATTTCTCCTTTGCACCGGCGACCAGAGACGGCTAAGGTGCACAGCTGGTATGTTTTGATTTCAATTTTGATTCTCGCCCCCCCTATGAGTTTCGATCTTGATTCTTGTCCCAACATCTCTTTTCCCCTTTGAGTTTCGATTTTGATTCTTGTCCCAACATCTCTTTTTATTTCGATTTCTAATATTCGTCCTCCTTCCAGGTATGTTCTTTGAGTATTCTTGATTTTCTTTTTTCGATCTTGAATTCTTAATTCCATTTTTTATGATTTTATCTACAAACATTCATCCAATTTTCGTATGTTAATTTCTGCTATTTTTAATTTTTTCAGATCTCCCGGATGAAATTTTGGATCTTGGGTTCATGATGGAGTTCAAGGATAAGATGTCAATGAAATTTTGAATCGCCGGTGTTACTGAAGCTATTCCTGTTTTTCTTGCTTCCATATTTTTAGTCTTGATGTTTGAATGTAATTTGGTGTGATGTATATTTGGATGTGTTTGGTGTTTGGTGTTTGATTTTGTGGATGTTTGATTGTTTATACTGAGTGTATGGTTACTGCATATGGAGTATGAGATAAGAGGGTGAAGAGATGCAAATTCTACATTTTCAATTAATAGGGTGTGAGGGCATTTTTGGAAGGTCAATGCCAATTTTTTCCTTCCTTAAATATGCCTCAAAGTCAAAACGGGCAATATAAATCGGGACGGAGGGAGTACTATTTAAAGAAATGACTTAAGTTTTAGTGCTATTTAGTGCAAATATTTCTAACTAATATTCTGTACATAAAAACTGCTAACACATGTTTATACAATGAATTATTTTTTTTATAAAAAATAATATAAATCTAATGAGATGAATTATATACTACTTCTTCCATTCTAAAACTTTCTTTCCAGTATGTCGTATGAAGTTTAACTAAAATTAATTTTGATTTAATTTATTTGGTTACTACATTAAAAATTTTATAAAATAAGAGGTGACATGACCATATTATTTGATCAGATAACTAATGAAAATTGGTAATAAAAACTATTAAAATTCGACCATGTGAATAGTGACTAATAAAAATTTTTTTAGGACGAATGGAATAACACGTAATATAGTTATAATTTAAGTGATGATATAAAATCGTTCAGTTCAATGCAAAAGGTAAAAATGGACGAATACTTATGGAGGATCGCTTCACATAACCAATAAGACCACAATGATGGGGCATGAAAAGGGCTTAGACGAAACTACATGCCGGCGAGATGATTCATTGTTCGAGTCGGTAATATGAAATCATTGAGCCAATCATATAGGGTCGGTAGTCTTCTCCATCGAGCCACACACTTTGGTCAGTGGGACCTAATGTCGATCCATTACCTCATGGAGGTTTCACGGACGACACACCTTGAGACAGAGTCACGGACGACACATCTTGAAAGAGAACCCAAACATTAAACGACAAAGAAACACATAGGAGGTGCAGAACGTCTGTTGGAAAGGCACGCCTATGTTAGACAAAGTCAAGTCAAACGCTACATGATAGCCACTAAACGTCAAAAACTTATCGTGCAATGTCTTATAACTGTTGTAATCTGATTATTATAAATAGTCGTTCCTTTAAGTATAAAAGATCTAAATCTAGTCTAACAATATTCTCTTTTGCTCTTTCTTTCGCTCAACTTACATTCTTTTCACTTTAGACTCCACATTCTACACACTCGATTTCTAAATTAGCTTACTCGGTGGTTTTATAACTATCAAATATTTTAAGATGATGGTATAATAGACACAATATAACAACATAGGTATATATATGTTATGTCAGCGATTTTGATTTTTACCTAGGAGCATTACTTTATTTAAAAAAGTTGCTCAAATTTTGAGAGACTCAATGGGAAAACACTCTAAAAACTGTGAAAATATTCTAAATTTCATGTCTCTTTATGAGTATATGACTCCCTATATATGTGTGTATATTTATATATAAACAAGATAAAAGGAAGAAAAAACATGATTTTTTTCAAAGGACACGTAAATATCTAGACCTAAATATTTATCCATATTATTTTTTTAATGCAATGCAATAAGATTTTTTAAATTAAAATGTTATTTCATCTGTAACATATCTTTCTTTTCATTTGATTTTTTACCGTATCTAATATAATACTTTGATCACTGATATTATTATTAATATATAGATTATAAATATAAGATATTTCAAAAATATATTTCAAAATAAATCTATCGATATTAAATCTGTACTAATTTAATGTAATTTGTTTTTTGATAATTTGTGATAAAGTTTTATAAGATGGGGGGAAGTTTACTTTTAGTAGGGAGTATAAAAAGTGGTACAACCAACTAGGGAGGGAAAGACGAGGCGAAGAGCTTCCTTCATGCAACTCCCAAATTATGGAACAAAAATGGAGAATGAAATGAATGAACCAATCCATAAAAATCAATGGACTGTGACTTCTCCATAGCCACACAATCCCAATCAACAATTTCTTCTGATTCCAGGCAACGGAAAAAGAAGGCGCCTAATTCGATCGGTCGTTCGTCTCCACCAGCTAACGAGAGGGAATTATCAATCCTGTTCCGGCGGTACACGGCGCCGGCCGGCTGTTCCGGTGGCCGAGCCGCGGCGGCACCGAATTCGAACTCGCGTTGTGCGCTGATCGATACAAACGTCGTCCCTTGTGCGCGCGTGCGTGTATGTATGCTTGCGCGTTGCGGAGAGAATGTCCGGTGAAGAGGCTTCGATGAAGAAGGTGTCGTGGAAGGGGAAGCTGATGTGCGGGATGAGAGAAATCGACGGCGAGATTGAGAGGCTCTCCGGAAGGGATGATATGAGCTCTCACTATAGCTTCAACGACAGCATTCTTCCTTCTCTGGGAGCTCTCAGCAATCGCAAAGCCAGTCTCCGCACCTCCATCATCTCCCCCTTCGATCCCCATTATCGGTACACCATTCCCCAAGCTTTAGTGGATATACATTATGTTTTTCACTTACATTCTGGATATGTGAGGCATGAATTTTGTTTAATTTTTTTATTTTTGAAGGATTAGGGTTCTAGGAGATTGTGGATGTATTTTATTGTTTGTTAGAGTAGATTTTTATTCTGTTTTAAAATCATTCCCCTGTTGATTTGATGATTGACGTAGAATCTATGATGAACTTTGTTTTTTGCTTTAATAAAACTCGAATGTATAACAGTGTCCTTTATTTGATATGGAGTATATTACTTTCCATGTCAAAGATTGAGATTAGGTTATTTTCTGAATTGAACAAATGCAGGAATTGGGAGACATTTCTAGTACTACTTGTCTTCTACACAGCATGGGTATCTCCCTTTGAGTTTGGCTTCCTGGAAACACCAAGTGGACCTCTCGCCATCTCCGACAATGTTGTGAATGCATTTTTTGGTATAGATATTATATTGACATTCTTTGTTGCCTACCTTGATAGAACAACTTATCTTCTCATTGATGACCCCAAGAAGATTGCTTGGAGATACATAAAAAGCTGGTTGGTTTTGGATGTGATATCCACAATCCCTTCTGAACTTGTGAGGAAAATTTGGCCCCACTCCCTTCGTCCATATGGCTACTTTAGCATGCTCCGCCTCTGGCGTCTTAGGAGGGTCAGTGCCATGTTTGCCAGGTAAGGTTCCATTTCTTAACCAGTAGCATCGAACTTGCTTGTTTCTTGGCAGTCATTGCTCGTCATTTAAAGTTTGATTGAAATTTCCACCGCAAATAAACAGTTTTTAGATCTATGAGAAGCAGGAAGTTTGCTGGATCTTGAAATAGCTAGTATGCAGTTATGCACACACTTTTTTGCTCATTATTTTTTTCATTGGTGTTCAAAAAAAATGGAAGGCATTGAGAAATGTGAGGACTTCTCATATATCTCGCTTAAAGCAAGGAGTGTTCTCAGATATGTGATTTGGACTTGTAATTTCATGATCAATTATTGCAGGTTGGAGAAAGATAAGAACTTCAGTTATTTTTGGATTCGGGTTGCAAAGCTTATAAGTGTGAGTCTCTTATCAAAGATCATAGTTTCGGTCTAATGTTGGAAAACACTATATTAGTGATTTGACATATAAAGCGTGCATTGATTTTTGCAGGTTACTTTGTTTACAGTTCACTGTGCAGGCTGTTTATACTATCATATTGCCGTGCAGAACCCCGACCCTAAACAAACATGGCTTTCGTTAACCATGAATGATATTGAGAAGCAAAGCATTTGGGCTCATTATGTGACATCAATATACTGGTCCATTACAACACTTACAACAACTGGTTATGGGGATTTACATCCTGTGACCATATCAGAAAAGATATTTGTCATGTTGTACATGCTGTTTGACCTTGGGTTGACAGCTTATCTCATTGGAAACATGACCAACTTGGTTGTTCATGTGACCAGTAGAACCAGGAAATTTGTAAGTATGGAGTACATGTTATTATTGCTTGGTTGCCTGTATATGTTATTCTTGGTTTGCCTGGCATGAGTTAGAAGTTGACTATGGAGAACATACACTTCTAAAAAGGCGAAGTGTGTGTGTTAAACACGCCATAGGCACGTACAGGACACACCTAAAATGTGTATCCCCTCCAAAAAAAATCTTTTGGCAAAACCATTAAGACGACGGGTGGGAATGATACAAAACAATGTTGTGTAAAATATTTTTTTAAAAACAACTCTGAAATAATGGACCAAAAGTGCTTAAACTTTATCATCATTATTCATTCATTTATTTAAAAGATGCTGTGTCCCCAGTGTACCATTTCTGATTTCTCATAGGAAAGTTTTACTCCACACTTTTTCCTCAGTTGCATCAGTGTCTTTATGTATGCTCACCTTGTTAATGTCATTCAACATGTCATCATCCTATATACCATACTTACCATAGGTGTTGGTTTTGCTTAGTTTGGTACTTTTTGTTCTTTTGGTCTCAGCTTATATTGAGCATGCCTGACATTCCTTCTGGTCTGGCAGAGGGATACCATTCAAGCTGCTACAAGCTTTGCTCAAAGAAACCAATTGCCAGTTCGCCTACAGGATCAGATGTTAGCCCATTTGAGTTTGAGGTATAGGACAGATGCCGAAGGCTTGCAGCAGCAAGAAACTCTTGAAGCACTGCCAAAAGCCATTAGATCCAGTGTTTCACATTACCTTTTCTATTCGCTAGTTGATAAGGTGTATTTGTTCCATGGAGTGTCTGACGACTTGCTTTTCCAATTGGTATTATTTCCTTTGGTGTTTAATTTTTTTCTTCTAATTTTCTGAAGATCTAGTTTGAAATATCTTTTATTCTTTAGAGTTGCCCTGTTCCCATTTATCATTAGAAGTCGTTTTACATGAGCACTGTCTTCAGAGTTTTTCTACAACATATTTATGTTATTTCTCAGTACGGTTTGAACTTTGAAGGTATCTGAGATGAAGGCAGAATATTTTCCTCCAAGAGAAGATGTCATATTGCAAAATGAAGCACC